AACCTCGCTTAAAGTATCGGTTCTTTCCATGTCTTTTAGCTAATATTTCCAAAACCCTGATTGTAGCGCCATGTTCAAATATGCGAATTTATGTGAATGTATGTAGATTATTTGGATTATACGAATTATGTGATTGTGTTATTATTGGTATTATATTTTCTTTCCGATTATTTATAATTGCTCGACTATTTATTTTTAGCCATCACATTATATTATTCTAGCATAATATAACGTTAAATTATTTCGTTCAATTTAATTTATTTAAGTCATTCAAAAAGTTCGTGTTAAAAGATTGAACCGAAATATGCTCGAAATATATTATCTCACGAACTGTTTAATCCGTTTGTGTTGATCCGACACTTAACCGATTTATGTTGGAACTGAGCCTTATTATTATTATTTTTTTGTAAACCGGCCTTTATAATCGTGGACCCGTGCCTCGCCCAAGGGACCAATCTGCTCTCTTTGCCTGGATGAGAAGCTAATTATCAAAACCCTAATCTAGCCTTATAAAGGAGAGATTATTTCTTTCTCCTCGTCAAAATAATCCCTCAGACCCTAAGTCCTCACCCTCTCTCCGTCGTTTTTAAAATCTCTCCATCTCTCTCGCTATAATGCTCGCGACTCTTATTGGGAAAAAGGAAAATCTGATCATTCCTCCATCACCATCGTGCGTTATAATTCCTTCCCCTCTTCTCTCAAGAACTGGTCGCCGCCACTCCCGATCGTCCCTACCGCTGCTCGCGTTCCGCCGACCATCGTGACGATCACGCGCCCAACACCCTGTCGTGATTGCTGCTTCTCGCCATCGTCGACGAGCCTGCTCCTTCGCCGAGACCTTGCTGTCGCGAGGCCCGCACGAAGGTCCTCCGCCTCTGCTCCATCACACAGCGCACCAAGACCGAGCAGAACTGACTGTGCTCTCCCATCGACGAATCTATTATTCATCGAGAGTCCACCGATGTATGATCGCTGACCGAACGTTGCAGTTACAGGCCACCAAACGTGATTCCAGGGCCCCAGCAGACGCGCACGATCACCGGGCGAGCCAAACGTGAGTTGTCGAGCCCACAAAGCGCGTACCTTCGGCCCCGATGTTTCCCGAGAACGGTACCTAGGATCGAACCCCGTCTAGTTTGATTTTGTGATTTGTGTTGTTATGATATAATACATGCTTAAAAGTTGTTTATGAGTTCTATGATGGAATTTGATAAGTATGTAATAATTC